TCTCAAGCTGCAGAGAAGTAGGGGCGGAGATATTAGACCTATTGAAAGCAGTAAGCTCAGATTCCAACCTCTTGATCTTCTCAGCCGAAGAATAGGCTTCGCTTGCCATAGTCTTTGCCATCCCCTTGGCTACCTTGGTATCCTCTTAGTCAAGGAGCATAGACTCGGCTGCTAGAATCGCCGTTTTCTACATCATAGCAAGAAAAGCAGTCTTTCTATATTCAGTTGTATGCTTTGCAAAGGAACTTGGGTAGACAACTATTTTAACGTCATCACCAAACTTAGCACACACATCTATGTCTTGAAGAAGATTTGGTTTCAAGAGTGCATAAATCTCAGCAGCCACCCTGGATAAAGGCTTGGTATATTTCTCAAAATTGCCCACGCGAGTAGGCTTTTTTCTCAGCAACGAGGGGAATGTATTTTGGCACCACTTTAGCAGCAAAGTCCACCTTGTTGCTCTTTATAGTAGCAAGTTTATCCAAAGGTGAACCAGATTTAGCCATCGACGGGGTTTTGGCATAAATTTTGGCACTAGGGGCACAACAGAATTTCTACGTTGAGCAATCGAACTAGCCACCTTTGGAACGGCAGACGTCACTGGCGCAGATCTGTCAGCCTTGTCTTTCTCCCTCTTAGAAGAAGTCAAGTCAATCAAAAGCCTGGAGGTAGCCGACAAACCCTCGCGAACAACGGAAGAAATTTTTAGCTTTTTCTCAACCGACATCTTTTGAGTAAGCGGGGAAGATTTCTTTTTCCCACCTTTATTTACGGTGGGCTCTACAATGACAATCGGATGAGCTAGTGCCTCTACCTTAATTGACTTTATCTCTTATCTCTTATCTCGGGGGCAACCCACATTTCTCCCGGCGAAGTGGACTAAGTAATTAACAGCACTCTTGGTACTCAAAATGGATACTTAGTGCAACATGCACCTTCATTATATCAGGGGAAGTCTTATGTGTCGAGCCGAATTTCGAATCTACAAGAGCAAAAGAAGACAATTAGTAAATCAGAAAGCGGCTTGGTAAAAGCACAAAGCAGCCGATGAACCAAGCAATCTACTTATTGGAGATGAAAACCGTTGGAACACGCAGCTTGGGGGAAGAATCAGACTCTCATTCTCCATTTATCTCCAAAGTTTCCTTGGCCCAGTCATGATCGCCCTTCCTCGAATGGTCAAAGAGCCTATGGTGGGATCGCATCTGCCCAACCCCCTCGATGGGGCCTATGTCAAAGAAGTACTAGAATTCGTTGACAGTCAGATTCAAGTCAAATAATTGGCTTAGATTGAAGAACCCCACCATCATACGTACCACATTCTGAGAACATTGAGTGGAGGCACACTTCATGGAGCATAACATTTCTTGGAAGAAACACGGCATAGGGAAAGAAAATCCCAACACGAAGTAGTAGGGGTAAAACTTGATGGCGCTCTTGGCCCCACTACATGGCTCATGGCTACTACTTTCCTTGACATGTTTCACATGCACCCCCGACGAAATGGTGTGCCTATATGCCTCAAGAAAATCTCTAAATGAATCATCAGAGCTAATTTTGAAGTGAGTAGCTTTGAAATGAACCACCTTACTTAAAGACCTGCCTTGGCGAAACAACGGTGGTACATCATTGTCCCCCTTGTGGCTTGAAGAAGACATGCTAAAAAAAACTCTACAAAGACATGAGGAAAATTCGTTAGATGGTTGCAAAAAAAAAAAAAAAAAGACTCAGCGTACTAGGCCCCACGGCCCAAGACCGCATGACCCAGTAGCAGCGCCATGCCCCACGGCCTAGATTGCACCACTTCACTTAGCCCAATAGGCCTTTCTGCCCAAATCAGAAGCAAGAGGGCATGCACCCTAGGAGGGCTAAGCCAGTGGCCCGCAAGCCCAACAACTATCGGCCCCTTTCTTTCTTCTCTCATGCATGGGCCCGAGACTAGCAAAAAAAAAAAAAAAAGGCCTAAGCCTTCTCAGCCCAATCCACTAACCTGGCCCAGCAAACCACCGCCGCACCAAGTAGCCCTACAGCAACAACCATGTCGTGGCATCCTAACCAATTTTTCACTCCTTCTCGACCTCTATCGAGCTAAATTTCAAGCCCCGAGGCTCCCAAAAATTAAGACGAGGAAAAATTAATTTTTTCTTACCTTGGTGTGGCATGAAGACGAAGAAAGCAACGAAAGATGATCATTTGCACGGGCAAGTGTAGAAGATTGGTAGGAGATGGGGAACAAATATCCTCTAGCTTTCTCTCTCTTGTACGGTATAATAAATTGCTCTTTGAAGTTGATTTAATAATCTACTTAAGGTAGACTTAAATAGACTTTAGAAGTAATTTATTTCTTTTTCCTATAATGATCTAATTTCCAATTAAAGAGGGAATCTACATCAAAATAGGAAACAATCCTATGTTTCCTAAAGCAAGAAGATCTCTACACCTGCTACCATTTCCTACGAGCAGCCCAACATGTGTGGGGTATTTGTGGAGCAAAAAATAATCAAAAAAAATATTGAGGCGACATGTGGACTTTTGCGTAAAAAAACAAAATTACTCTTGACCCACACCAAGACTCCCATGCGCATTCAACAGACAATAACGGCTCAATCAAGGTCATAGGCGATCAAAATGGTAATTCTTTAAACCTTTTCATCACTCTTCATCAAATCTTCACCCACAAGGTAACTCTCAATTATCCTTTTCAAATTGGGATTAATTACCAAAATTAATTGATTAATTTCCTAATTGATTGCAAGATATTATTTGACATAATATCTTGCAATTAGAGCCAAGAAACCACTATAAGTGGCCGGTCCGCATTTCTTCAAATAGGGCTGGCCACACCCCTATATATAGCCCCTCATTTCTCCAAAAACCTAAGTCTAATTATCTTCTAAAATTCTCTAAACACTTTCTCTCTTATATTCTAAATTTGGGCCTTGGCCTTGATCTTAGTTGTTAATTATTTTGCAAGTGCATTTTCATCCAAGAAGAAGAAGGCGGAAATTTGCATCCACAGTTCACTATAACCGAACAGAACTGAAATGTTTTTATTTATTAAATGAATTAATATTCTACCACCAGAACCTACAAGTCTCACAATTCAGGCATTCTCGAAGAAGAAAAGAAAGAGGATGAGCTTTATTGAGGAGTCTTAAGCCACTTTAACACATGTAAAGGAACGATGCAAGAGAAAAAACACTTTACATTACTGGGGAATGAATGATAAATAAAGTTATTCCGGTCCAAAGTCTTATTTTGATCAAGTTCTTAGCTTGAATTGTTGGATTTCATTGAGATTGAATCTCAGCCTTTACACTCAACTCACTTTCTTTCTTAGGTATTCACTCAGTTTTACCCTCTCACTTCACCTCTCTTGAGTCCTCGATGTCAACGCCCTCCCTCCCTCTCCCAACTTTTCCTTTGCAACTTCTCTGACCACACCAACTCATGCATGCCACACCACTCTGATTTTGCACAAGATTCTCCTCTACAACTTCTTCTCTGTAACTCCTCTGCAACTTCTCGATCAAATTCTCTTGCAATTTCATCGTCTAGTCTAGTCTACCCACAAAAAAAAATGTAATTCTGCTGTCGAATCCTCCATGGTTCATTAAATCGATCTAAAAACCGATATTATTTCGATTTGGGAAAATTAGAATGCCCTAAATATTTTCTATAGTTTTTAGATTAAACATTCATCCCTTTTAAAGATTTGATTAAGGTGCTTCAATCAATTGCCACCTCAATAATTTTCTATTTATTCAATTTCCATGTCATTAATTTAAATGCATTTATATAGAGGCATAACGTAGCTTAGCAACTAATTGCCTATAATATAGGAATTTAATTTCCTCAATCCCCTTATGCGCATTAAATGACATTTTTTAATAAAATAAAATAAAAAATTAATTAATTAATTCTTCATTTCCTTATTATCAGTATTTAAAAAAAAAAATACTCTTTCTATTAAAATTGTATCAATAAAAAGTCTTCAATACATATTTTTTTTTCATGTATAGATATATTAAAAATATACTTAAAACTTATGGTACATTTGAGAACAAAAGTATTGACTTTTGGTGCGTTTAGATTTCAAATGCACCGAGAAACCAAATGTACCAAAAATTCAAATGTACCATAAAACTAAATGTACCCATTGTTATGTAACCTTTTTGGTACGTTTAGATTTCAAATATACAGAGAAACCAAATGTACCATAAAACCAAATGTGCTCATTGTCAGGTAATCGTGTTGGTACGTTTAGATTCCTATTGTACCAAAAGACCAAATGAACAAAAAATCTCAAATGTACCACAAAACCAAATGTCTATATCAGATAACCCTTTTGGTACATTTACATTCCAAATTACCAAGAAATACAAAAAATCAAATCCACTATAAAACTAAATGTGTCCATATTATAGGTAACTAACTAGATGTAGGTATATAATCAAACAAATCTTTACTATGTGTTGGGTCTTCTAAATAATAAAATTTGACAATTTTTTTTTTATAAATATTCTACTATATTCACACAAAAAAGTAAATATTATAACAAACAATAAAAAAAATGCATAGAGATGGATAATAAATGCATAAATATAGGGATAATAGGAACTGAAATTAATAACCAAAATTTTATGAAAATGTTTGATCAAATTTTCAAAAGGAGTGTATGTTTAGTCTAAAAAATTAAAAAACGAGGCGCTTATATCAAAATGTCCCTTTCGGTTTTACTGATTTTTTATAAACCGAAAATTTTGGTTCGGTTTTTTTATTTCTGATTACCGAAATAATTTGGTTTCGTTGTTCGACCCAAAAAAAAAAAAAAAAAAAAAGGTTTCGTTGTGTGCAGTGGGAGAAGTGGTATAAATGGTAATTCAGGCGCAAAACGTGTGCATTTAATTATTTAGTAAGAAAAGGAACGCTCGCACACACACACAAACACTCTCTTTTGGTCGTCGTAATAATCTATTATGCTGATCTTCCTTCACAAGGCGCGCGAACCCACTCTCTGCCAAAAGCACTTTTCTCCTAAAGCGCTTTCCTAAACCCGCTTTTCTCCCTAATCCCCCTCCCCAGCCGCTCAGCTGCCGAGCCGCCGCTTCTCTCAGCCGCTGAATCCCCTTTTATAATTTTATTTGGTGGCCCTTTCGCATTCCCCCAAATCAAACCGACTGCTATTCAGAACAGCCGGTCCAATGGAGCCGCCGCCGTTACATACAAACACCCCTCGGAATTCCAAGTACTCTATTTCTCTATCTAAATTTTCAAAACAACAAAACTCTCTCTCTCTCTCTCTCTCTCTCTCTTTTGTTTTCTCTGATTTTCTTTCGCTCCAAACAGGAAGAAGCGGTTGTTTTCCGATAGGGGTTCTGGGTGCATGGATTCCGACGACGTCGTGGAGATTTCGCCGCCGGCTACTCCGATCACTCGGGCCCCCAAATTTCAGAAACTCAAACTCAAAGAGGTACAGTTTCTCTGTCGTTTTATCGATCGAGAACTCAATTTTTCGATGGTTCTTGTGATTTACCTGGTTCGATCATGGAATTGTGATGAAATTAGTGTTCTTTTGGAGCTGGTAATCTGCTTTGATTGATCAAGTTACCGTCTTGATCAGTAATCAGTGTTAAATTTTGGGTTTTTTAGGGTACGTGTGACTTCGGACTAATACGAGTTGATTGGAACATTTGTGTAAAAATCTTGGCACTTAATTGCCCAAATTTTAGATTTTTTTTTTGTTTTGTTAATTTTGTTTTAGGCTTTCAGCAATTTTTTGGTAGTGATATTCATTTGTTCCCGATTTCCTGAAAGATTATGTTTTTTGGGTATTGCTAAAGCATTGTCTCAAGCTCATTCGCACCCGTTATTGTTTACGTTGTTGAACAATTTCGTGGCAGTCCTGTTTATAATGAGGACATTGAACTTCCGTCTCCTGTTATCAATCTGTCTTTTGTTAAATTTTCTTTCCATGATTTCAATTGAGTTTAGAGTGTATTGAATTGCATGCATAGAGCCGGGTTTGCTGCTACCATTATCTATTTCTTTTAGGGCTGGATGAAGGTGTCTTTGCAGGCATTGTCTTTCTTCCGTTTTATTGAATGTCATATCATGTTTATAGGAATTGACTACGTCTGTTGTTATGTCTTGTTCAAGCTTGATGATGGTTGAGGAAATAAAATCATGCATTTGTTACGTGCTTTTCTTTTCAATTAAACGTGGTTCTTATAGATTTGTTAGGAGGTTTTATCTCCTACTTCCTATTCTATCCATTTTCTTGTTTTCTCTTTCATTAGTATTTTTCAACCAAATGACTTTTTTCTACCGTTTCTAATCCTGAACATTCTTGTTTTGCTGTAGGATGCCTTTTGTTTGTTGATTTTTTTTTCTTTTTAAATTATTGTTTTCTGATGTTGGTTTGAATTCAGTCAATCTGAACAGATATTTGTTTTGATTAATCCTTCTTAAGGTAATTCGGCATGATGTGATTGAAATTGATGAAGATGAAGATTCAGTTGCTGCAATGCTTATTGATGATAGAGTTGATAACAAAGCCAAAGGGAAGGCAATAGAAAACTCTTCTGATGGCTACTATGATTATAAGGTGTATGATTGACTTGAATGACACTCTATCAATTGGCTGTTGTCATTTTGTTGAATGATAAATATTCAATTGTAGCTTTAGCATTCTTAACATATTTACTTTATGATATACTAGTATTTTCAGGAAGATGAGGTCAATAGCCTTTTTGGCCCTTCTGTTATGGCAACCCCTGAGTCAGCGAATGGGATTGAAGCTACTAAGGGTTTTGTTCCAGCTAACGTGATCAACTTAGATGGTCATACTTCTGATTTGTCATATGAAGATGATGACTTCGCTGATCCTTTTCTTGATGAGTTTATGGATGTTGATGAGTATGCCCAATTGCAAGCCCATTTTGATAATGTGGATATTCCCCCTGGAATAGAGGCACCTATTCCTTGGTTGTCGGATCCTCCTAAAAATAAAGTTAATTCAGTTTCTGGAAGTAGTTCTGTCAATAAGAGGTTTCAAATGCAACAAGAGCCTGATCATTTCATTAAGAAGCCACTTTTAGGGGGTAGTTCAAATTTGAAGACCCAAATTGATAGTATTTCCCACCCACCTGAAGTGAATCTATCATCTGCATGGAATCTTCCGAAAACTGCCAGGAGTAAAAAGAAACAACCTGCTTCACAACACCAAGGGAGTGCTCCTAATCTCCCAGTTGGGAAGGAGTCATCAAAGTCTCAATGGCTTTTAGGACCTTTCCAGTCAAAAAAGAAGGTAGCTTCTTCAAGTACTTCGACGAATCAATTTGACGCAATGAAGCTTGGTTCCGGAGCTGACACATCTTCTGCTTCGTATTTTCATAGCATTCTAAAGAAAAAGGGTTCAAGTGCTTTTTATAAACCCATGCCCATTCCTGGGTGGCCCGGGCCCATTTCCAAATTTAATACTATGCCATTTAATTCAAGCTTGTACGATCTAGATTCATTATATTCTCCTGGGGAAGTAGCAGGTAGTCCTTGGATTGCTAATGCGCAAATTCAAAACAATCTTGCTCCAGGAGGCATTTCAACAAGCCCTGGGAGGAAAATTTCTGCCATGGAAATGGATGAAATGATAGTGAAGTTTAAGGGCTTCAAAAAATTTGATACAGTTGAAGATCATTCAGACCATCACTTTAGTAGGTGTGGCTATTCACCGAAGCAAGTAAGTTTTGGGTGGTTTAGTTAATGCATTTTTTTTGGTGTCTTTTGTAATTCCCTATCTTATTGTGCTTTGGTTTTACTCATTCTGAAGCCACCAAAGAGTTGGGCAAAGAGAATTCAGGAAGAGTGGAAGATCCTGGAGAAGGATTTGCCTGGTGAGTTCTTCTGTTTTTTACTTTTAATTTTCTTTTAGATAACTGTTTTGAATGTTATGGTAGTGAAGTTTTCCCTCAGCCTTTTCAATTTACTCTAATAATTCGCACCGACTATTTCATGATGCTGACTGCTGTAATTAATTGGTTTGTACTAATAATTGGAATTTTATAATATATGGAATATAGTTGTTGGATTGTTGTTTGTACTATAGAAACTTAGATGCACTTACCCCTTTTCTATTGACATCTACAGATACAATATTTGTTAGAGCTTATGAGACAAGAATGGATCTTTTGAGAGCTGTAATTGTTGGGGCGGAGGGTACTCCTTACCATGATGGTCTCTTCTTCTTTGATGTTTGCTTCCCCTGTGGCTATCCCAATGTTCCACCGGTATGTGATAATCTTGAACACCTATAATTGATTTATATCTGTTTACATCCTTGGCCTAACTGGGAACTCTGTTATGCAGAATGTCTACTACCACTCTGGTGGCCTTCGATTAAATCCAAATTTGTACAATTGTGGAAAAGTATGCCTCAGCCTTCTTAACACCTGGTCTGGGAACAAGAATGAGAAGTGGCTCCCAGGTGTGTCAACCATGCTACAAGTGTTGGTCTCTATACAAGGGCTGATCTTGAATACAAAGCCCTACTTTAATGAGCCTGGATATGCAAATACGAATGGTTCAGCAGCTGGTGAAAAGAGGTCTGAGGAGTACAATGAGAATACATTCATCCTATCATTGAAGACAATGGTGTACAGCATGAGGAGGCCTCCGAAGGTAAGATTTGTTTCTCCATTTTCTTGATACTCTAGACTATGCTCAGTCCATTTGCAGTATGAGATTGATATGAAGCTTTTTAGATTATCTGCTTGACATTTTGGCTGTAGTTTTTTATATAATGGTTCATGTGGAGTAGAATCTTTTTGATAAGTTGAGAATAATCAGGCTAAGCATATCAATGAATGCTGGGTTCACTGAAGTGTTAAACAAGAATAATCTTAAATTTCTGAAAATGCAAATTTTTTCCTTTATTTTCTAAAACCGTTTCCTCACAGAAGTTTTTTATTTCATTTCAAACTCATCATGTCGCCCCTTCTGGAGTTTGAGAAGGAATCAAATTTCTTTTGCTCTGTCTTGGGAACTTAGGATGATAGGACTGAACTAGGTATTTAGGGGAAAGTCAGAGTTTCTGAAGTGACTATCTCTAATTTCTTGTTTGGTATCAAGTGAATTTTGAAATTCTATATGGAAACAGATCTGGAATTAGAGTCATTAACACTGGCTTTAAATTCCCAGATCATAGGTGTTATTACAAAATTCCAAGACACTTAATGTTTAACAAATTTTCAGAGCAACCACAACTACCATCACATCTCGCCACCACCCCACCTCTACTGTTGCCACCACTACTACCAAAACTACTCATGTCTCCACTTTTCTGCTGACCTCGTTGCCACAACCCTCAACCTTGCCCCCACCTGATTATCATCACCTCGTTCCCATCACCCTCAATGTCACTTCCTCCGTAACCACTGCTGCTACTACTCACACCGCCACTGCCACATTGCCACCGACACATATCTTCACATTCCATCGTGCTCAACTGGTTACAAAACAAGAAACTTTAACAACTTCTGAGAATAAGCCTGTTTTTAAATATTTTCCCTCACTTATCCAAATGCAGCATTGCAGTGCTTTTAATGAACATATAGAAAGAAAGTGTTAGAACTTCATTTTTGAATAAATATAAGGAAATGAGAAACACACACCCTTTTTAGCCTCACATACCCCTGTTTAATTCTTACCATTGTTAAGTTTGATTTATCCAATTCAATGGCCAGAAATATAGAGGGGTGTGTAGAAGCTAGAAGGTTGTGTGAAAATCACTGCATAGAATTTTTATGCTAATGAATGATAGAGTCAAAACTACAAGGATTCCGTTTGCCAATTCATGATACAATCAGTTGATAGTAATTTCTGGATACTATCCAGAAATTAGAAAATTATCTTTAACTAAGCAATTGACGTTCTCAACTACACAAGCATCACCTATGAGCGGATAATATTTGGTGTTATTGACAAATAATTTTTAGTGGTCATTTTGTCATAATGCCCAAGTTGGCAGCCAAAACTGCTGCTTTAGGCAAATCTGGCACACTTGCAGTTATCCTTTATTATTTGTTTTAATTTTTCTATATTTTCACTTCCGCTAAACTATCTATATTCCACTGGCCTACTCTGTCCTACATCATGCGACATTTAAGTTCTCAGTTATAACTTACATCTGCATGCAGCATTTTGAGGATCTTGTTCTGGGGCATTTCTACAATCGTGCTCGTGACATTCTGGTGGCATGCAAAGCATACATGGATGGTGCTCAAGTGGGGTGTCTAGTCAAAGGTGGTGTTCAAGATGTTGATGAGGGTGACAAGAGCTGCTCACAGCGTTTCAAAACTTCTGTAGCCGACCATGTGCCTATGATTGTCGCAGAGTTTACAAGGATCGGGGTCAAGGATTGTGAGAGATTCGTATCACCAGCAACATCTGGGAACAACCAAATTGCCAGTATGCCTCAGGCTGCAACGTCAATGATTTCATGCTGAAAATTTGATTTTTCAAGACTCGACTCTATGTCAGACATCTAGGAGGTGAGACTTAGGTTCCGGTTCACCGCAAATAATCAGTAGACTTGTTTTTTTGGTCAAAAAGTTTAGACTTAATTTATTAGAGCGTCTTTCATGGAATCCATCCGTCTGCGTAAATATGTTTTGGGATATTGTATATAGATGTCAGTATGGATGAGATTGCTCGGAACTGAAACTACCAGGAACTGAAACAACCATTCTGCAATTTATAGTTTTACTGAAATTGTAAAGCTGATAATCCGGCCTGAATTTTTATCAAACTTTGCGGTAACTAATTGTATTGGAGTAGAAATTCCAGATGCTTTAAAATCTTTCATAGGAATAACTTATTTCTGTTTCTCTCGTTCGTCATTTAGCCTGCATGTCATTTGAGTGGGGAGGGAAAAGAACAAGAGAATGTGATAGGTCTGGTAAGTTGTGTGGTACTTTTAGCAATGCCCCGTGGAACTCGATTTTGATCTTATTTTTATATTCGCTTCACTTTGGTGGGATTTCGTATGTCAAAGTGGGATAAAAAATGAGCCTTGTTGTATAATAGCGATGATTATTGTGATGGTGTTTTGTTTGATGGAGATTGTTTCACACCCCAAACTTTGGACACCCAATGTCCAACACAATTTTGAAAGGCAAAAGCCGTTATTGGCTTGACACACCAAAATAGTCATTATTGGCTCGATACTTCAGAATAGTCATCCAATCTTAATGAAAAAAAAAAAGAGCGATTGGAGTCTATGGAGACTGTTTGGTCCCTCAATTCCAACATTAATCAATGTTGTCCTTAAAAATTGATCTGCCTTCTCATTTTGGTCCCTAATGTACACGAACAATCGACGTACGAATAGAGGCAGAAAAGTGAGTTGAGCGGGGTTGCTCCTACATGATCCGGCCGCGGAGACCACCAGTCTTCGGAATCCTCAAAAGTAGAATTGTGGATACTAGTTTTAGACAATCTTCGCGAGCATCAATTTTGAGCGAAGCTAAAAGAGAAGTGGCACTTACCACTTAGTACTAGGGTCTAATAGTATTTTTCTTCACTTGTAAGGGAGAGGTCTTAGGTTCGATTCTTGCCAAAAAAGAATTTGAACTAATTATTGCTAGCCCATTATGAGGATAAGCCAATCTCCTCCCTTTTAGTGTAAATAATATCGATTGTTCAAAAAAAAAAAAGAAAAAAAAAAAGAGAAGTGTCACTCTTTCGTAGGATGTAATGAACCATACGGATGTGTTTGATTATTATTTATAAGTAATTAAATTGAATGGTAGTCCAATTTCGACTTATCACAATGATAATTTGGGATAGTGTTTTAGCAGTGGACTCGAATCTAAATTTAGTCCTATTTAACCCTAATTAATAATTGGTTCGGTTGAATCCAGCATCCTAATTAAATATACCATCTGATTCTTGGTGATTGGATTTGTAATTGTACATGGATGACGTTTTGCAGTTGGAATTCAAAGAAATGTAAACTATGGAAGTGGCTATCAAGTTTTTCAATTATCTCCATCACTTGAGCTAACCTCAAAAAGTTTTTTTGTAGTCTTGCAATGACTAGATTTTCCAAGTCAATGAAGACTAATCTCAACAAGTTCTCTTTTTCTTATTGATTAGAAAAATGAGTTAGGAATTCAGAACCTCTTTCATGATGAAGAAAAGAAGTATCATTGGACAAGCTCGTAAATAGCTTTTGCTTTATTATTCTTTTATCGTGTTCTTTAATCTGGCATGACCATTCATTTTTTCGAGCGAAGATTGATGTCGACTGAGTGAAATAAATATTTTGTCTTCTTATCAAGTCCTGCCTTCTAATTGGTCCCTCCCTCCCAATTAAAAGCTAAATGGCAACATCGTCTTATCGTCGTGACTCATGAGACTGACTTGGTAGTCTTGTAATGCTAGATTTTCCAAGTCAGTGAAGACTACTCACAATTGAGTGGATAAAAAATGATAAACAAAATGATTGGATAAAATAAAATGATAAACACAACTAAATGTAAAAATACAATTTTGATCGTACATTGAAATGGTTATGGTCATAATTTTTAATTATTCTTTTTATGACAATTGTTTCGTCTGCTAGTATGTTATAACCAACTGCATGAAGATGATATGAGTCGGAAAGTTAAGGGTATGTTTGGATGAGGAACTTTTGAAAGCAATTTAGGATAACAAGGAAGAAATAGATAATAAAAAATTAAAGAGGAGGATTTAGAAATGCACCGGTTGAACATTGCAATGGTATGTGAAAGAAATTTGTAAATGACACATTCCAAGTAGTCATTTGCAAATTTCTATTCACATGCCATTATAATGATCATGTAAATGCATTTCTAATCCTTATGATCTGACTTTTTATGACCCATTTCTTTATTACTTTGTCTAAGCTTCTTGGGATTTGGGTTTCCTTTGTTAAATGATTTCAGGAATTAGGGTGATACCACAACGTTGTTCCAGATATTTTTGCAGGAAAAATTACGAAGGGAAGAACTTCGGGCAACTAAAATTACTGAAATCCAAAAGCCAGTTGATCTCGCCTCAGTAAGGAGAGCTACTATGCCGAGCACTCAATTTTAAGCATTGCCTTCAAACCTTACGCCGGTTCGGTTTTGGACGGTTTTTTGCTGCCTCAAATTGTGCTCAACATATTCTGCAAATCAAAGGAAAATGATCTATCCATTTCGTTCTACGTTGGAACAACTTTTGTTCGAGCACAGCCACATGCATACGATCTTTACAGGGTTCACAACTCTGTTCGTCGCCAACTCAACGAGTCATACCTGTATGCAAGTCCTGCTGTAGATTTTGACTCCACTGCTTGGGACGTGATTATTCCTTTTGGGGGCCTACTGTTTGCTGGCGTCATTTTCTTGCAGCAGAAGTTTGGGGTCGTTGCATTCTCCCCCAAAAGTTGAGAGAGTTGGGTGATACGAGAACGTCCCAACTGTTACTGAAGGATATTTTAATCTCTCTTTTGTTATTTGAGGATGTAATAAGTTATGCCTTTTTTTTTTACTTTTTTTTTTTAATTTTTTAATTTTTTCTGTTTGTAATGTGCACTTTCATTTTTCTTTTCTATAAGATAAGAAAACAATATTTGCTGTGTCACGAGAGTGAAATAGGTGCGTGACGGAGACGGAGTTAATGCAAATATGTCTCGAGGATACAATGAAACCTAGTACCCGATGTATTTTCAATCATGTTTCTGCACTGATAGAATGAATGGTTGTGATGAATTTGTAATGTTGTGAGAGAGTGAATTTGTTTCTTGCTCATTGAGTAAGCTGAAATACATTGAACATTAAGAAAAAAGCTCTCTTCTAAGTATGTGTGTTCTTTTGTGCTTACTGGTTCATTGAATCAACCCAGAAATCAAACGCTAATATGGCCTCAGAGCCAGGTTGGATCTCAATCTGGGCGTGAATCTGTGATAAGGTTCGCAGCTGAGGAACTCGACAGAGAATCGAGTTTGCTGCGATTGAAGAACGATCTGAAAATCTCTGGGTAACTTGATAACAAGTCTAATATGGCTGGATCGAGTGGTGCTGATCTTCGAGCACCGATTTTCAATGGAGAAAATTTTGATTTCTGGCAGATAAAGATGAAGACCATCTTCAGATCTCACGATCTGTGGGATATGGTTGAAAATGGGTATAATTCTCCGGCGAAGAAAGAAGAAGAAGAACTCACTGCAGCTGAGCTAAAGCATCTGAAGAAGAATATGATCAAGGATGCTAAGGCTCTCGGAATTATTCAAGGAGCTGTGTCAGATTAAATTTTCCCAAGGATTGCCATTCTGGAGACAGCAAAAGAGGCATGGGATATACTGAAGCAGGAGTTTATTGGAGATAAACAGGTGAGATATGTGAAACTTCAAAGCTTAAGGCGTGATTTTGAATATACTCGAATGGGTGAACATGAATCATTTTCTGTGTATCTTGTGCGTTTGTTGGATCTTATTACACAAATGAAAAGTTATGGTGAGAGTATTGGAAATCAAAGAATAGTGCAGAAATTATTGATTAGTCTTCCTAGATCCTATGATAGTATTGTAGCTGTGATTGAGAATACTCGAGATTTGGAGACAGTTTATGTGCAGGATGTAGTTGCTACTCTAAAAGGGTATGAACAAAGGATTGAGAAACACTCTGAAAATAACACTGAAAAGGCCTTTGCTAGTTTAAGTACAACTCCCAGGAAGAACAATTACAATGGCAATCAAAACTTCAAACCCATAAAGAACTGGAAGACAAAGGGTAAGAAATGGGATAACAAATATGTGCACCAGCAAGGAAAATTTACTGGGTCTTTTGATAGTGTCAAGAATGCTTGCAAGTACTGTGATAAACTTCATTTTGGAGAGTGTTGGTTCAAAGGGAAACCAAGGTGCCACAACTGTGATAAGCTAGGGCATTTTGCCAAGGATTGTAGATCTAAAAAGGTTACTCAACAGGCGAATTATGCTAATCAAGGGGAGAGCAATCCAACTATGTTCTATGTGTGTATGTCTGCTGCAGTGAAGAAGGGAGAAGATATTTGGTATGTTGATAGTGGCTGCAGTAATCACATGACAGGAAGAGAAGATTTACTGGAGAACATTGATAGAAGTGTTACTGCCAAAGTTGAGATTGGCACAAGGGATTTGGTTAATGTGGTTGGAAAATGAGAGTTAATGGTTGCAACCAAGCAAGGCAAAAGGTACATCAAGGAGATCATGTTAGTACCTGGTTTAAAGGAAAATTTATTAAGCGTGGGACAGATGATGGAGCATGGATATTACCTTGTGTTTGAGGGGATTGAAGTCAGAATTTATGAAGATTTTACATGCTCTAATCTGGTTGTCAAAATTCCTATGAAGGGAAATCGAAGCTTTCCTTTGAAGTTGCAACCAGGAATCCAAATTGCTATGAGGGCAAGTGTTAGACAAGCAGCTGAGATATGGCATAGAAGACTCGAGCATCTAAATATGAACACTCTAATGCAACTCCAAGAGCATGACATGGTGACTGGTTTACCTGAGCTCAGAATGAACTCTACAGTATGTGAGGGATGTGCTATTGGAAAGCACTCTAGAGATGCTTTTCCTAAAGAAACAAACTGGAAAACTGCACTACCATTGGAGTTAATATACACTGATATAAGTGGACCAATGCAAACACCTACCAAAGCTGGAAACAAGTATTTCATCACTTTCACACATGATTGTACTAGAATGGGATGGGTCTATTTTCTGAGGAACAAGTCTGAAGCATTTGGTATATTTAAAAGGTTCAAGGCAACTATTGAATTACAAAGTGGATTCAAAATGAAGAAATTAAGAAGTGACA